AACCCGGTTTTGAACACCCGCTGTGGGCTGCAACGAGTCCAACTGAATTTGAAAGCCAGTCTCCTTTCGACTGCGCTAACACGACCTCCGTGATTGAAGAAGTGAAGACGCCCAAAAGAAACTCTAATACGAACGTTGATGAGCGAGGCCAACGGTGCTGGATAGGATTACATCCATGATATTGAACTGACTTCATAGGTCAGAACAAAATAGAGGAACGGACTGCGAGTCCTTGTGTGACGTATACTGGTATAACGGGACAGTGAGTGAATGAGATATAATACTCGTCTGGTCACTGTGTTCTTGTTAATGGATGGATTCTGCGTGGTCTCGACGCATGGTGACCGCCTCAAGTGCTAGATGTTCCGGGTTCAATCCCCGGTAAGGGTTGGGATTTATTTACGTTGACTTGGACTTCTAGTAATTCCCCCTGGTCGTTTTCTCTGGGTAGTGAGATCGGACGCCCGTGTGTATTGTTGCGCACGTTAAAAATCCCCTGGCAGTTGGAAATCGAAAAGAGTCGCCTAACGGCGCTGCCCGGACAAAATTTGGAGTTTAAAATCTACCCAAGATTTTTCGATCCTCGCCGGTGCTACAGAGCCTATGCTCTGTGCTCAGCTTCTTCGGACTCAGGCTTGAGTTAGAAGAAGAACGGAGCACTTATGGGTTACTACCCGAGTGCCTTGATGTTAATCCCTTGTTAAAACTTTAAACTTATTGTTAATGGACTCTTTTCCGCAACTGGCGTTTTCTGCATATGTGCTAGACGTGTAGTTTTAGTAGATCAAACCGCACTCGATGGCTGATATGCATAACATGATCATTCTTTTCACAGTGGTGTCCAACAGTGCTATTGCGTTGCTCGCAAGCGTAGTTGGATAAACCGGACTGCGCGGCGACCGGGTGACGAACTTGTGGTCCGGGTTCACGCCCAGAGGCAGCAGAAAACCCACATTTCTCCAAGATTTACGGTATCTATCTTGGAATCAAGGCCGAAGGGTTGCGATATCCATAATACGGAGCCAAAGGGTTAACAACTTATGGTTTCTGGATACTTAACAACAACAACAACAGTGCTATTGTCTGGGCTTCCCCCCCCCCCACCCCCTCCCCCAGAAATAAAAGGTACCGGTGCCCGCAACAAAGTGTCTTTAAAAAGGGTGTTGCTACTCACTGTTAATAGACAAGCCGAACAATATCTTTAAGGCCGCGGAGATGTGGTTTTACAGAAGAATCCTTAGAATTCCTTGGACAGCTAGAAAGAGCAACCCAGATGTTATGAAAGAGGCGAATGCTCGAAGATAACTTATCACAAACATCAGAAAGAGACAGTCATCATAGTGTTTTTTTTTTTTTTTTTTTTTTTTTTGGGGGGGGGGGGGGGGGGGTCGTGTTATGAGAAGAGGGAAAATGGAACATGTTGTGACCACTGGAAAGATCTGTGGAAAAAAAGAGACAAGAGGAAGACAGCGTGAAAAGATTCTTGACAGTCTTCTGTCATGGCATGGAGGGGTGTCTACGCATGAACTGATACACGCAGTTGCAGATCGCAGATTTTGGAGAGGCATGATCGCCTACGTCAGTCGGCAAGGCACTTGATAAAGATGCTACTCACACACAAACAATTAAAAACCTTGTCCACGCTTTCGGGCGTATTGGGCATTTAAGGCTTGGCCTGTATTTAAAAAAACCGATTGGCACTCGGTGCGGAATGTGGTCAGCTTCACGCCGGCCGACTTTACTTCCCAGCACTCCACCTGGTACCCATTGAAAGCTGAGTCGTCCTTGGAGCCAAGGTCATTTCTGACCCGAACCCAGTTATATCAGCGTGCTGTTTTTATGACACAGTTACATTTAAATCAGTGCGTTGTTTTTTGTGATTTAATTACATTTATATCAGGGCGTTGTTTTGTCATTTAATTACATTTATATCAGCGCGCTGTGTTTATAATTTAATTGCATTTATATCAGGGCGTTGTTTAATTCATTTAATTACATTTATATCAGCGCGCTGTGTTTATAATTTAATTTCATTTATATCAGGTCGTTGTTTAAGTCATTTAATTACATTTATATCAGTGTGTTGTGTTTATGATTTAATTACATTTACATCAGCGCGCTGTGTTTATAATTTAATAACATTTATATCAGGGCGTTGTATTTGTGATTTCATTACATTTATATCAGTGCGTTGTGTTTGTGGCTTAACTACACAGTTATATCGCCGTACTGTTTTTATGATTCAATTCAATTTAAATGAATGGGTTGTGTTTGTGGCTACATTACACTATTATATCAGTGCGTTGTGTTTGTGATTTAATTACATTTATATCAGTGCGGTGTGTTTATGGCTCAATTACGTTTTCATCAGTGCGTTGTGTTTGTGATTCAATTTAAATTATATCAGTGCCTTGTGTTTGTGATTCAATTTCGTTTATATCAGTGAGTTGTGTTTGTGGCTCAATTACATTTATATCATTGCATTGTGTTTGTGATTCGATTTCGTTCATATCAGTGCGGTGTGTTTGTGGCTCAGTTACATTTATATCAGTGCCTTATATTTGTGATTTTATTTAATTTCTATAAGTGCGTTGTGTTTGTGATTCAATTTAATTTATATCAGTGCGTTGTGTTTGTGATTCAATTTCATTTATATCAGTGAGCTGTGTTTATGATTCAATTACATTTTTATCATTGCGTTGTCTTTGTAATTCAACTACATTTATCTCAGTGTGTTACGTTTGTGGCTTAATTACACAGTTATATCACCGCACTGTTTTTATGATTCAATTAAATTTAAATCTGTGTGCTGTGTTTATGATTCAATTACATTTTTATCAATGCGTTGTGTTTGTGATTCAATTACATTTTTATCAGTGCGTTGTGTTTGTGGTTCAATTACGTTTATGTCAGTGCGTTGTGTTTGTGATTCAATTATATTTATATCAGTACGTTGTGTTTGTAATTCAAAAACATTTATATCAGTGCGCTGTGTTTATGATTTAACTACATTTATTTCACTTCGTTGTATTTGTGATTCAATTACATTTAAATCAGTGCGTTGTGTTTATGATTTAATTACATTTATATCAGTGCGTTGTGTTTATGATTCAATTACATTTATGTCGGTTCGTTGTGTTTGTGATTTAATTACATTTATATCAGTGCATTGTGTTTGTGGCTCAATTACACTGTTACATCAGTGCGTTGTGTTTGTGGCTCATTTACACTGTTACATCAGTGCGTTGTGTTTGTGGCTCAATTATACTGTTACATCAGTGCATTGTGTTTGTGGCTTAATTACACTGTTACATCAGAGCGTTGTGTTTGTAGCTCAATTACACTGTTACATCAGCGCTGTGGTTATGGCTAAATTACACTGTTACACCAGTGCGTTGTGTTTGTGGCTCAATTATACTGTTACATCAGTGCATTGTGTTTGTGGCTCAATTACACTGTTACATCAGCGCTGTGTTTATGGTTCAATTACACTGTTACATCAGTGCGTTTTGTTTGTAGCTCAATTACACTGTTACACCAGTGCGTTGTGTTTATGGCTCAATTACACTGTTATATGAGTGCGTTGTGTTTGTGGCTCAATTACACTGATACAACAGAGCTCTGTGTTTGTTGCTCAATTACACTGTTATATCAGTGCGTTGTGTTTATGGCTCAAATACACTGTTTCATCAGCACTCTGTGTTTATGGCTCAATTACACTGTTACATCAGTGCGTTGTGTTTATGGCTCAATTACACTGTTACATCAGTGCGTTGTGTTTGTGGCTCAATTACACTGTTTTATCAGCGCTCTATGTTTGTGGCTCTATGACACTGTTATATCAACGCTATTCTCATAGGGCTTTTAGGGAAACTTCCTTGGAATTTCCTACCAAATCTCACAGCCCTCGATAGGGGTGGTGGGGGGGGGGGGGGGGCTGAAAAGTACTGTTTTCTTCTCATATTAATAAAACCATATCACAGTCTCGTATTACACATTCCACACAGAATAAAAAGTCCGTATTTCCCATCCAGTACAGGACTGCAAAATATTCCTTTCCACGGGTCTTAACGGCGCAATAGCAATTTTATTATATTATTGCTTCTACTGCTACTACTACTGCTGCTGCTACTACTGCTGCTGCTGCTGCTCTACTACTATTACTGCTGCTACTGCTACTGCTGCTGCTCTACTACTACTGCTGCTGCTGCTACTACTGCTGCTATTACTACTGCTACTACTGCTGCTACTGCTACTACTACTACTACTACTACTACTACTGCTGCTGCTGCTTCTACTACTGCTACTAATGCTACTGCTGCTACTGCTATTACTATTGCTGCTGTTGCTCTGCTACTACTGCTGCTACTACTACTACTGCTACTACTGCTACTACTGCCACTGCTGCTACTGCTGCTACTACTGCTGCTACTACTACTACTGCTACTACTGCTTCTACTGCTTCTACTACTACTACCACTTTCTACCATCACCACCACTTCTACGACCACCACCACTACTACTATTACTATGACGACTACGGCAGGACAATTTTATCACATGTGTTCAGACACATATAAATATATGTATATTTGGCGTGTCTCTTTGTTCTAATCAACAGGTTCAACTTCAGAAACACACACCATTTGAGGCAACAAAGACCTGACCACACACTCAGCAACATCGGCAAGAACACCGACTAGATAAAACCCTCAGGTGCATTCAAGATAAGCATGATAGAATCGAACACTCAACAATACAAGAAGGATAACAGCGATTAGTTAGAAAAACAACAGTGACAAGGAAACAGGTTAAATATTAAAAATCTTTCTAAACATTTATTAGCAGCGAAAATGGAAAAGAACAACGTTATCAAAATTCAGCAACATCACTAAAGGAATTAATAACATCGGAAGGACATAGCCTGCATCAAGCACTGTTGTTGTTTTTGTTGTTGCTGCTGCTGCTGTTGTGGGGCACCAACTGTAGTTTTAACAACAATGAAACTGATAGCGACAATATTGACTGTTGGAGCAATATTTTCGATTATCTACCTTCTACAGCTGTCCACTTTTCAGATGGGTACCAGACATTACCTACCCGACCCAACTATCTCCACAAGATACCAGCTGGCTGAGTCTCCTGTTTTCACCATAGACAATCGAAACGAATCCACACCTACATCTGACCAATGTCTTCCAAGAAACAACTTGACAGACGAAGCAGCTGGCGCCAAGCTTTTAGAAAAACGTCTGCCAGAGTGTTTGATTATAGGGTTTGCAAAATGTGGCACGTACGCCCTCAAATCGTTTCTGACCTTACACCCAGACATTGTAGGCCCAAACCAAGAGGTTGCATTCTTCACAGGTTACTACCACAGGGGCTATGACTGGTACCGTAGTCAGATGCCGTTGTCGTTGGAGTCACAAATTACTATTGAGAAGACACCAAGCTACATCCTTTCATTACAGGCCTTGTGGAGAATCCGGAAGTTCAATGCCAGCATTAAGCTTATAGTTTCTGTCCGGGATCCTTTGATTCGACTACAGTCATCATACGCCCATGCTCAAGCCGCACATGAAGCGTTCAATGAAACATTCGAGTCCTGGTTGCTGAACGAAGACAATATAATTCGCGCCGCTGATTATGCGACACACATCAAGAACGTGTTCCGTTTGTTTCAATCTAGTCAAGTGTTGATTGTACAAGAAGAAGAGCTGGAGAAGACACCCTTGGCGGTGTTGAGAAAGGTGGAAACGTTCCTGGGGTTGTGTCATGCCTTCGAAAACGATCTCTTGGTGTTTAACTCAGAGAAAGGCTTCTTTTGCTTCAACCAGACTAGCAGACGATACCAAGAACTGGAACACACGCTGACATTAAACCACAAAACTGGCTGCTTTACTCGGAGTAAAGGAAGGACACACCCTCAGATCGACAGACTGACCATGAAACGGATTGTTCTGAAAATGAGTTCCTACAACGAGCAGTTGTTTGCGTTAACTGGCATACGTTTTAACTGGACACATCCGGGCAGTTTTTAATGTTTGGAAAACGTAATGCTTGATGTCTTATAAACATTTAGTGAGGTCACACAATGTACATGTGATGAATTCTTATGGGAGTAAACATACGGGTAGCTGGGGTACAAACCCGCAGTTATTGAGAAAGAAAATAAGTGTTTTGCCCTGAAATGCTATTTGAAAAACTAAAAAAAAATGTATGGAACCGGGTAGCTTTTTTTTTAAAAGGACAAAAAAAAAAAGCAATATAGTTACACACTACAAAAAAAAAATATGCTTCAAGAAAAATTGTCTAATAAACAGTATTGTATCCCTGAAACTGAAATATTTGGATCATATTTAAGGCTTCGATAGATTAGAAAATAGTAGTTCTGTGAATGGTACCGGGTGAGACAATACCATGTGTATTGTTTTTAGTTCAGAATAGAATGCTTAAAAAATGTAAAGGTCCCTTTGCCACGCCTTTAGGCGTATAGGGCATATATGGCTAGCCCTATATTTGTATAGACCAATCGGTACAAGAGTGGTGATGTGGTCAGCATCACGCCGGCCACCTTTACTTCCGGGACTGCACATGGTACCCACTTAAGGCTGGGTCGACCTAGGAGTCAAAGTCATTTTTGAAAAAAGTCCGGCTCCGCCAGACAAAGAACCCACGACCTTCCGATCCCCACGCGAGCGTGCAGTCATTACGCCACGGGACTGCCAATACATTTACTACAGCTAATGGAATCTCTTTACTTTAAACAACAAGCAGCAGTTAGAGTAGCTGGTGAAACATCAGGCTGGTTTGGGGCGCAGAGAAGGGTAAAACAGAGCATTTCCTTTCCATCCCTTTTCAACAAATATGCTGAAAATGTTATGAGAAATGTAGTTAGTGAAGAGACCTGTGACAAAGTTGTTCCACATACAATTGGAGGCAAAACTATGCCAGAACTCAGCTATGCAGACGACAGTTTTCCTTTCCACTCCCCTTCTGGACTGCAGTCCTGTTCGAGAACTTGAGTGTTGCGTGTGCTTCCGTTTTACAGATCTGACTCATTTTTATGCAGACAGTTGGTTCCAGATGCACTCCGACTTTAAAGGAAGCTCCCAGTTAGTTGACTCGTAGGACATACTTTTGTCCATTGGTGGGTCTATTTTTGTTATCCCTATAACAGGACCCCAGAACCCTATGTGACACTAATGCACAACATGAACATGATCGAATTACTGAATGAATGGATCCCTTCTGACTCCCACTTCATATCAACATATCCACGCACACAACCACAACCCGCTACTTATCCTCATATCTTCTCATGCCCTGTTTAAATCATATCCATGAACCCTGTCTTACCCCACTCTATATCAGCATCATGCATCACTCAAAGTACCTTTTCAAGCCTGTATAACATTCTACCAACTCTTGTACTTCAACAAAGGATGAGCGCACATGTACATGCGGTTCGAGGTTTGAACAACGGAACAACATCATGACACACGGGTGCACCGTTCTTCTTCTAACTTAAGTCTGAGTTTGAAGAATTTTAGCACAGTGTACAGGCTCTGTAGCACCGGCGAGGATCCTGAAATACTTTAGGTAGATTTTTAACTCCAAATTGTGCCCTTGCAGCGCCTTAGGCTACTCTTTTCGATTTCCAACTGCCAGGGAATTTTTTATGTGCGCAACAATGCACACGGGCGTCTGATCTCACTACCCAGAGACCAGAGGGATATTACTAGAGGTCCAAGTCTACTTGAAAAATACCAGCCCTTACCGGGGATTGAACCCAGAACCTCCAGCACTCGAGGCGGACTCGAGACTACGCAGCCCCCTATGTACATGCGGACAGACGCACAAGCTAACGCACATGTATGGTAAGTAAAGTAAAGGACCCTTTTCCATGCCTTTAGGCGTATAGGGCATATAGGGCTAGACCTATATTTTAAAGACCAATCGGCACAAGATGGATGATGTGGTCAGTATCACGGCGGCCGCCTTTACTTCCCGGGAATGCACCCGGTACCCACTCCAGGCTGGTTCGACCTGGGAGCCAAGGTCATTTTTGAAAAAAGACCGGTTCCTCCCAGGAATAAACCCACGACCTTCCAATCCGCAGGCGAGAGTATAGCCGCTCGGCCACGGCGGCTCCCGACGCACATGTACAGTATGGTGCAAAAAGACGGACAAACAGAACGGCACACTTACCAACAAACATTTTGAATTAATCAAGTAACAGAAAGTGTATTGATCAGTACTCATAGAAAGAAGTATAAAGATAGATGAACATACTAGACAACGTAAAAATCGAAAGCTATAGTCACCGTGCTGGAAATCGAACCTGTCACCTCCAGACGGCGACTGCGCCTCGCCATGGATACAAGTGCACTAAGAACATGGTCAGCTAGGCACCCCTAACAAACATATAGGCTAGGGAGGGAGAACATCTGGACCACGAAATCATTTTTTTGCCAAGGCAACCGCAAATGTTTAACCTTACAAAGACAACACGTGTTCAATTTGATAGTTTTTATTTTCTGTGAAAGTTATAAATTTCCTAATTGTTTCCGCCCTGACCACCCCTTACCCACACGGGGCTAAAAGGTGTACACCCACGGCCACCTATATGGATCACGGTTGGCCGTAGTACACACCTCTTTAGCGTAACCGTCACGGGTCGCTGCCTTTAAGGTGTACCATTTTGTTAAAGACGATGAAGAGCAAAGAGTATTGAGCTATAGTACGTTCCAAAAGTCGTCACACTGTAAGAAATATCTTGAAAACTTATGAACAGATGAACACGAATCTGTGCATACGGCCTTAGATTCCCCAAGTCCTGTAAGCGTCTGATTGTTAGCTTTGAATCGGAGTCTTTTTTTTTTCTCTCTCCATATACTGCAATTAGGAGTCGTTGACGCGTAGCGGCTAGACGCCCGCCTGCGGATCGGAAGGTTGTGTGTTCGCGTCCTGACAGAGCCAGATTTGTTTTCCAAAAATGACCTTGACTTTCAGGTCGACCCAGCCTTGACTGGGTACAAGGTCCAGTCCGGAGAAGTAAAGGCGGCCGGCGTGATGCTGACCACATCACCCACAAAGTGCCGATTAGTCTATAAAAAAAAATAGGTATAGCCTATATTCCCAATACGCCTAAAGGCGTGGCAAAGGGTCCTTTACTTAATTTTTGCATGTAATGCAACTGAGGCAAAATGAAAGCTGAATGTTTGTTTACCAAATGTTTATACATTCATATCTTCTTCTTCCTCTTCGCGTTCACCAGCTGTACACTCTGGCGTAAAGTTCTGGTTGTTCGTCCACTTCTGGACTCCAGTCCTGCTCCAGAACCTGAGTTTTGCGTGTGCATCAGTTTTACAGATCTGATTCAATTAAATGTAGACTGCTGGTTCCTTGCCTCTCAGGCAGATGCACTCCGACTTCAAAGGAAGCTCCCCAGGTAGTCGACTCTTACGACATGCTTTCTCGGGAGGCAGTGGGTCTATTCTTGTTTTCCCCACAGTAGTGCCCCGGAACCCACACATGGGATACATTCATATGATTATTAACAGACTGCATAACAAGTTTCAACAAACTGCACCGAACGGGTACTGAAAAACAGATTATTAAAGTTACGCACAAATTCTGGAACGGACTATAGCCGTGAGGCGAGAATAGTAGCCTTTATAATTACTACTACCTCCTTTGTTTGTTTTCGGATCAACATCATGGTACACGATTGTAACCCATAAGTGCTCCGTTCTTCTTATAACTCAAGCCTGAGTCTGAAGAATTTTAAGGCCGTGCACGAACTCTGTTGCACCAGTATGGATCCAGAAATACTTTGGGTAGATTTTTAACTCCAATTTTGCCCCTAGCAGCGCCGTTAGGGTACTCATTTCGATTCCCAGCTGCCAAGGGGTTTTTTCGTGCCCAAAAATACACACTGGCGTCCGGTCTTACTACCCAGAGACCAGGGGAAATTACTAGAAGTCCACGTGAAAAAATCCCAGCCCTCACTGGGACTCGAACCCGGAACCTCTGGCACTCCATGCTTAGAGACCACGCAGCCCCCTGACAATTGCCCCATCCGACATGGGGCTGCAGGAGTTGCTGTTTTGAAGCGGCTATGCACTCACCTGCCAATGCGTAAGTCGTGGGTTGAAATCCGAACATTTTCCTTGGCTTTCATGTCGATCCAGCTCCCCGTGTGGGTTTCGGGGCCCTACTGTGGAGAAAACAAAAATAGACCCCTTGTCTCCCCAAAAAGCATGTCGTAAGAGCCGACTAATCGGGAGTTTTCTTCGAAGCTGGAGTGCATCTGTCTGAGAGGCAACAAAGCAACAGTCTGTATACAAATAAGTCAGATCTGTAAAACGGATGCGCATGCAACGTTTACGTTCTGGAACAAGTCTACAGTCCAGATGTGGCCGAACAACTAGAACTTTCCGTGAAGAAGAGGAAGGTCGATCCTGCAGTAAATGGATACCAGGAAACAGTCATGGGAATTAAAAGCGCCCTGTGTGATGTTTACCAAATCACGCACTTAATGCCATTTGATCTACAACATATAAGTCTATGCTTTAAAAAATCCAAGCTGGATTTATCAGGCAAGAATGGATTGAAACACTAAGCACTTCACGATATCTGCTATAGCCTTCATCTTTGTGCCAGGTTATGCGGGTGTTCAAGGGAACGAGCGTGCAGAGTATCTTGCTGACACTGCAGTTGCTGTAGCTGGCTATGTACTGGACAGAAGTGATGTTATCAATGCCATGCGCTGCACTTACCGCACCGAAAAGCACGCCAAAGGACATGACTCCGTATCCCTGTCTAGACTGATGGACATGGGGGTGCAGCCTGGAGCTGCAAGAAATGAACATTTCACTAAGGGGACATTAACCAACACAGAACAGGCGTCATCAGTCGTTTTACACTTGTGGAGCTTTTGAGGAGGAGATCGGAGCACCTATGGATCTGTCCGGAGTGCTGTGATGATAATCCTTCCTAATCACTAATATAAATCTAGCACTATAACCCCATTACG